CCGAGGCTGAGGGGGGTCATGGCAAGTGCAGACATTTTGCGAACACTCACTGGCAGTACAAAGATTTTTGGATGCACTGGGTGTTTTTTTTGTGTTTTTACCACTTGTCACAATTTAGGTTCGACGGCCTCAAAATTGGTGTGACTGTCACACAAAATAGGTTCGATTCGCCAGGCATGTGACGGTGTGACGAACCTAGGTGCGTATCTCGACAGTATACACATCCCTTTAATCATTTACCAACCCATCAATCATTCCTCACTATGAACGCACTTTTCTCTATTACTCTATCGATTGATCCATAACAGTTCTCGTTTATTGTGAGCCAGCAGCTCCTAAATAATTTCTCTGTAAACACGACGTGATGGAGAACGCGAGTTTTAACCACGTGCCGGATCACGTGAACGCCAGCCACATTCCCTTGGATGTACTTACGGTCCCGCATAAGCATGGAACAAGTTAAATGAACAAGGAAAGTTCCTGCGGAGGAACGTTTAGAAGTGTCCTAATCGTGACGAGATTGCGGGGGAGTAGGTGTCACGATACTCTGCGTAGAACAGGAACTTCGTCTCGAGTCGAAGCAATACCGGCGGAAGAATGAGCCCAAGATCGGAAGACCGGGCGTCACGGTTGCACGCTGGCATCGATGGGCAAAATTCAGGGCGTTCAGAGGGCATCCCATTGCGAACTGGCGCGAGAAAAAAGAATCACCGCGTCTTTGATGTATGACAGAAAGGTTTATGGTGTTCGAGGTGCGAGCCTTGTGCGGTTCCCGTGACAAAACGACAGACGTGGGTGTACTGCCGTTAACGCACAAGCAAAGCGATTCTGCTAAATGCTAACTGATGTTAATGAACGCGACAGTATTTAGAAAAAAGTTAGATGCTGAGCGTGCAGAAAAGACCTGGGTTGAAGTTGGCGTCTCTTGTGTAATAAGACGGAGGCAGAGATGCAAAAATGCACAGGGACCGCTACACGCATTCGTTTCCTCCCTAATAGCCACTCGCGGCCGTTCCCTCTTCTTTCCCGCTTCCTGTCACCTGCACCCTTGTCCCCCAACTATCCTTCCTCACAATGCCAACATGCAGACGCAAACGTGTCGTCCTTACAGAACCATCCGAGGCCCTTCTCCAGGCTGCAAAGTCCAACCCTAACAAGGAGGTCTATTATCTACAGCAAACTGGCGAGATATTCGAAACTTATGAGTTTGTCAATCCTTTTCTTTTCACAATGTCTCCTACAACTATGTTCTCCTCAGGGCCTACGCTGCGAGGATGTCATTTTACAGGCTCAAACAGTTCCAGTGCGAGGTCACAGGAAAGAGCGGCCTTGACTACTTCCAGGCGCTTGAAAGCGAACAGCAGGAGGCACAGACTATGCACGCTAGGTTCCCCGAGCCTCTGAAAGCTGCTGTCCTTAAGGCTGTCCAATGGCGTGCGTCTTTTCTCAGCTCTGCCGGGCTCGAACGCTGATCATCCTTGTCGTCTGTAGAGGTCGTAGGTCGTCTAGACCACCTTGTAGAGGCCGTCTTTGACCGGTTCAAGGACCGCTATTTTGCGGACGAAAGTAAGTTGCCCGTTAACACTGATAGACCCTGGAGCTCATCCCATCCATTCACGCGACGTCAGAGGTGTTCGTTGACGCGCAAGGCGACAAGTCTGTTTATCACATATTAAGGTCTCTAACCCGATAACTGACATGTATTTTGCCAGATTCTACGCGAAAGTGGTGGAGGTTCATCCCCCGAAGACCACGAGCGAAAGTGTCAGTGTCCCAGCCGAGAACCAAGCCTCATCTTCATCAGCGCCGTCTCCACCTCACGGAATTGCTGATGGCGACACTGTTCTAATCCACAAGATTGGTGGAGACTTGAAGATCCCAGCGAAGGAAGCATCGGTCCGCGATGACCCCCTAAAGTACTTCTACAAGGTCCAAATCCTTGAAGAGCAACACGAGAAGAGTCACGAGAAAGGAAAGGCTGCAGCAAAAGACAAAGCTAAATGGAGTGGTAGCTTCATGGATGTGCAATGCAGTGTCATGAGGTCTGTGGCCCTCTTTAGCCTCTCATGAACAAACCTGAATACCTCTTGTTGTAGCCGCGATCGTCTTGCATTCTCGAAGTCTATCCTTCGTCGCTTTATCCGTGACTGTGTCGATCGAGATGCTGCCGTCGCGTCGCCATGGACAGTGAAGCAGGTCATTGCGAAGCACTATGGCGTCGATTCTGTGATGCCAGAGGAAACACGCAAAGGTGTCGAAGACATCAAACGTGGCGAGATTGACAAGCGTAAAAAGATATGGGAGGACAAGGAAGGACCACCGACCAAGAAGCAGAAGAAGATGACTGCTGCTCAGGAGGAAAGAGGTAACGTTTCACTATCTTGGATAATACTCAGTGCTGATAACTGTAGCAGTGAAAGCCTTGGCTGCAGCAGCTGAAAAGCGAGAGCGCGAAGCTCGTGAAAAGGCAGAGCGCCAACAAAAGGCAAAAGAAGAGGCTGAGCGTCTAGCTGCGGAGAAGAAGAAAAAGAAGCCCATTCGCTACCCTACTGAAGATCTGGACGTTCGGCTTTCAGACAAGGAGAAGAAAGCAGGCTTGAAGGTCAAAAAGCCAACACCAAGCAAATTGGGCATTCCATTTGGCGAGAATCAGGGTACTTTTGAAGCATTTTTAACGTCGTGGAATTTCCTGGTCATTTATGGGTGAGCGAACTGTCTCAATTGGTTACACATGATATATAATAGTCTGTCACAGACAACCTCTCCATCTGTCAACATTTACAATGGACGAGTTTGAACACGCTTTGCGGCATTCCCTCATAGACCCGCCTTGTGCACTACTAGGCGAGATTCACTCAACGCTTATTTACAACCTACGCACAGTGCCCTTTACTCGGCATAGTGCTGTCCTGTCGTTACTGCGTCTCCAAAATACGCTGGAAGAAGATCACCAAGTGCTTGGTGTTACAGTTGATGAGCTAGCTGGTGCCATGGCTGACGTGGGGAACAACTGGGAACGAATCCCCTTACGGCACACTGAGATGCGAGACGGGTGGGAAGAGGCTCTTCTTGGATGCCTGAAAGATGTAGAGTGATTTCGACTGATTGTTCATGCTCGATACTCATTCCTGATAGCATGCCACACTCGACAACTTTCCTCGGCTACGAGAAGTCTTGACAAGATTGCTCTTTGCCCCGGAACCACCCGCAGAAGTTTCATCTTCATCGTCGAGCTCTCGCGTTTCAAGTCCAGCCGCAAACAACCTATCTGTTCTATCATCACCCAGCGAGCGTTACTACGCGCTGCCTCCTGCCGATAGGATTGATATTCTTACCTTGATGTGCAACCTCGCTGTGTCAAGCAAGGCCGTTCATTCCCATATGGAGTCGTGCGAAGAGCAGCTCACCGCCCTCCGCAAGGAGAAAATAGAGATTAACCGCCAGAAGAAGCAGTAGTGAGTTCACTTTGGCGTACAGCAGTATTTCCATTTAACATCCTTTTTCAGCACTGAGGAGATGAATTCCCTTGCTGGGGAAACGGAAGTGAAGGAGGAGCCCGGAACCAACGGCAACGTTGCAGACGAAGATACCACGATGCATGAGTCCAGTGATCTTTCGGACGTTCCTTCAGAAGAGGGCTCGGAGACCGCATCTACTTCTAGCGCTCGCCAAAAGAGATCAGCCCGTCAAAAAGATCTTCGTCAGAAAGCCCATACTCAGGCACACGCGAAGCAACGAGAGCTCGCTCGTGCTCAAGCAGCCTCTGCGAAGCAAGCGCTGGCAGAACATCGCAGACTTGATGAAGAGGTTAATAAGCTTGAGCGTCGATTAGAGGCAATTGAACGAGAGTTCAGGAAGCTACTTGGTGCGGTGCGAGTCAAACCATTGGGAAAGGACCGGTTCCACAATCGGATTTGGTGGTTTGACGGCATGGGATCTGCTTCTTTGCTCGGTAGTGGGGGCGTCGTCCAGTATGGAACTGGTAGAATTTTTATACAGGGCCCCAGCGAGATGGATTTGGAGTTGATGTTAAAGAAGGAGGATGACGACTATGAAAATAGGAGGCATGAAGAAGAAGGAGAAGAGGGGATGCTGGGTCCATCCGAATGGGCACAGTATGCTGAGCCCGAGGATGTGCGTGGGGCAATCTCCTATAGCTATGTTTCGTTGACCGTCACTGATCGTCTGCCTTTGCAGCTTGATGAATTCCTTGCTTGGCTAAATCCCAAGGGCGTCAGGGAACTAGCCCTCAAGAATATTTTCATCAAGTGGTGGAGTCACATCGCTCCTGGCATGCGAAAACGCATCTCTGTACGTCCCGGAGATCCCTCTAATCATCGCCCTCTAATCACTCTGAGCAGGATCTCAACATCAGTGCAAAGCTTCCTGAAGCCAGACGTAGCACCCGAACCAAACCCTCTGGTCACGACGTCTCTCGCGAGCCTTACATGATGTGGACAAATCGAAGAGCTGTTAATTCAGTATAACGTACGTACATGCCGTTCTGTAAACATCCCTTTTCTGTTGTTGCGGTGTTACGCCCTTCGCCATTCAGCATCATTGCGGTGCACAGTAGCTTGGGAAAGACCTAGTTCTGGACGCTTGAACCTGAAATAATAAAGTGCGAAACTGCAGCTATATACCAACTATTTATGGAATGAAACAATGGTTAATTTCAATTTTAGGGCAAAATATATATGAATATTAATATTTGTGGGGACCTGCCATCAATTAATATTGATCTGTAACTTTAGTCTTTGACCTTTGTTATAGCGATTGCCAATATGGGTTTCAACGTCAGTTTCATTCGAATTTTTAGGGAACATAAAATTTCCTGCTGCTACGGTTCCTGACTGACATAAATATGATTATTCCTTCAGCCTTCGCCCGGATCTCCTCCCGTTGACCCTAACAGTGTCAAATTTTTGACGACCACTGCACGCGACCCTTGCCATAGGACATATTATTAACATATACCAAACAGTGTCCTAGATTCAAAGATGACTTCCTACACATCTGGTGCAGGAATACCTTTTACTTATGGCTCTGTGACTAGCACGTCGAGCAGCATGAGGGGTGCTATCGCTTCATGTGGGTTTTGAAACTGCTCATATTGGTCTGCAGTTAGTCTGATCGTACATGTAGACCGTCGCTCCCAATTTTTTGCCAGTTCAAATATACCATATAATTCACGTTTCTCTGACGAGGAGGAGTCGGATGAAGAGGCTCGCATTGGAGAAGATGTCGAGGAAGGCGAGCTAACTCCAATACCTAGGGATGATATGACAGAGTTCTGGGACTGGGACGAATCGTCGCGTCCAGTCTTGCAACCTGTACGGCCTTTTCTCCCCCGACGGAATGTTGATACCGGGGAAATTACTGCCAGCGGAAGTCAACTCGCTCAAACAACCAGCGACGAAGCTGCTCCCTTGCTTAAAGCATCTACCACATCTAATCAAGTCAGTTATGGGGGATCAGATTCAGATGCGTACGTCGGCGGAGAATCACGCGGCCCAATAGATCGGTCTTTACTGCGGCGCAAGTCGTCGGCAACCCTGAGGAAACCATACAACTATGGAGGACAGAGTACCTATGGGCAGACAGTAGGTGTTGTCATTTGATCGTAAATATCTCTGCTAAATGCGGTTGATTCCTCAGTTATTTAATAGCATCGCGATATTGTTGGGCATAGGAATGCTATCCGAGCCTCTGGCCTTCGCATATGCTGGTTGGATCGGTGGAACGGCTCTCATTGTATTTTTGGGCTTCTTGAATTGCTATACGTCAGTTGAACTTGCACTATTTAACTATGTCTTCCCACTCACCGCATGCAACAGTGCTAAAATTCTCGCTCGTATCATCTTGGAGGACCCTCGTTTGAGGTCATACGCCGACATTGGTCGCAAGGCGTTCGGTCCAAAGTCGACTGTCTTGACCACGATCTTGTTTTGTCTTGAACTTTTCGCCGTCAGGTCAGCGTATTTTGTGAATGAGACTTGGCCATGGAATTAATGTTTTTTTTTTCAAGCGTTGCTTTCGTCACTCTAGCCGCTGACTCCATGCACGAAGTGATGCCAGCGTATTCCGCAGACACATTTAAAATTTCGTCCATAGTCGTGTAAGTTTTACTTCCTGATGCTGTCAGCATGATTCTCATGGTTCTTTGACATTTGAACGATAGATTGGTACCACTAGTTTTCCTACCGCTGTCTATACTCTCTTATACCTCGATATTTGGCATTTGCTCGACGCTCCTCATCATTCTTGTCATTTTCATAGACGGCTTTTCTAAGCCAGACGCTCCCGGTAGTCTGATGAGTCCAGCCGCAACATCATGGGGGACTGGCACTATGACAGAGCTTGGAATTGCATTTGGCTTGTTGATGGCTGGGGTATGTCCCATCTTGCACACGGTTCCCGAAATAAGGCACTCATTGTCAGTGCTTTAGTTCTCTGGTCATGCTGTAATACCATCGTTGGCCCGTGACATGGTTGATCCTTCCCAGTTTGATAATATGATCAACTGGGCTTTCGTGAGTAGATTTGCTAAGGTGTTTTGGAATAATTGTTCACCATTTCCTGATCCTCAACAGGTTGTTACCACATTCATCTATGCGGTCATCGGTTATGCTGGGTACTTGATGTTCGGACGGAACGTGAGCGATGAGGTTAGCCTTATAATGTCGATATTTGGATGTCAACCCGAGACATTGACACGCATATAGATCAGCAAGGATCTCATGAGCACTCCTGGTTATAGCTCCTGGATCAACGAAATCGCACTGTGGACGTTGGTGTCAACCCCTCTGTGAGTTTCAGAAGCTCCCCTCCTTTTCTAACGCTGACACTTCTGTGAACAGCACGAAGTTTCCTCTCAGCACGCGGCCAGTGAGCGATATGCTCCTTTCCCAGAAGATTAAATGCTGATGTAGTTCCGTCTAGCTCAATGTCATCCTCGAAATCATGCTCGACATAGACAATCATACCCCGTTCCATGGTGGCATCAAACCCCAGCTGGACACTCAGCCTTCGACCGCCCGTCGGCTTTTGAATCGAGTACTATTCATTGTCGAGCGCGTATCTGTTCCTGCGCTGTCTATCATGGTGTCGATCCTCGTTCCAGAGTTTAGCTCCCTTATGGCCTTCCTCGGCTCATTCTCTGCATTCATGATCTGTGTCATTGGTCCTATATCAGCCAAAGTCGCCCTTGAGGGAAGGTGTAATGCCCTTGATGCTTCATTACTCGGAATAGCTATTGTAATGGCAACTTGGGGAACGTTCGCGGCATTTTGGACTGTGTGAAATCCTCGTTGGTCTTGAAGAAACGCGTAGACAGATACCCCCTAGATACTTTATTGGTGCCTTTTCAAGTCTCGTATTGTTCTGTTTATTTGCGCTTCCCGCTATTATCGCACAAAATATGTACCATACACCATCGTCGCCCGGTTGCATCACATCCATCGACATCATATTAAATGGGTAATGTACAATGTACACAGATATTGCCATGTCATTTGACCTGCACAGTGTGTGAAATGACCTTGCTAAGCTCTGCATAAAATCAAGTAAATTGACCGCGGTCCAAAAATTGCAGTATGGGAAAACTCACGTGGAAGCTTGATATGCTCTTGAATGACAACCGATTCAATATGATTGTCAGGGTTTGGCGGTATGCTGACCACGCCAGTCGATGAATCAATTGTCCACCGTTGTTTTGCGACCCATGCCTCTAGCTCTGGTCCTATAGAAATGATATTAATAGGTGAATAGATGTGGTACGTTGCCAATAACAAACCTGATAGATCCACATAGGATCCCAGCCTCTCGCTGCTGATCCGCGTGAAAGTAGCCTTTACTGATCGCGCGGCAACTTCCCGGATGGCATCTTCGAAACCTGTACACTCCACTGTATAATTCTCTCTTATAACCTCCAATTCATCGGATCGGTACAGGGTCCAAAACGCAGAGAAACGACACTGGTGAAGAAGGTTGTAGAGATTCATGAGGAGCGGCAGAAGTGTAGGTAATGGATCGGGCTCGTCGAGGGTGCCATTGACTGGCCGGTCGTCGAGCATAGATATGCAGAGGTTGAAATCTGGGAAAGGCTCTGCTGTAAGAGCTTTGAGGAGGATATTGATGACCACGTCAGGATTGAAGAGGTCAGAGTTGAATTGGTAACTGCGAGGGATCGATATTCGACTTCCAAAATGAATCAAGGGAAACTCACAGCTTTAAGATAGCAAGATTTGCAAGACAGTCGTACTCCTCGCTGCGTATCTGGTGGTAGAGGTAGTCCTCGAGAATACCAACATTTGACGGGTTGTAACGGTCTGGGAACACTTATGAGTGCCAGATCGATGGTGAATTGATTTTAATCACGCACCAACCCCGGATACCAGATTTTCAATAAGCTCTGTCCGTGAAGGAGGCGCAAGCCACGCTGCTGTTGCTGCCATCGCGTTGTTTTTTGAATGGGTATGTGTAGTGGAAGAGCAAAAAGTGCAAAAAGTTGATAGACCCCGGACACTGGGAGTCCACTGCGATACTTCAATTGACAACTCGGACTCATACTTATGATGCAGGTACGTAGTAGCAGACTGAGAACTCGCATTCAACTCACCCAGCCACTTTCTAGTCGCCCATGGCTGTCGAAGACAATTGTTCAATAAACGGGGCTAACGGAGACGCCTTGCAAATGGATGCTGTTGTGTCAAATGAAAGCTCCGACGAAGGGATTGAGGAAACAACTTCAGATCTTCATCTTCCCAACGGGCATACTGTACAGTCCACACCTGTTCCAGATGCAACAATGCCGAAGACAGATAGATCGAGGCCACAATATGCAGTAAAGTACATTCTGAGCGGACATACTATGGCAATATCCTCCCTCAAGTTCAGTCCAGATGGCACCATGCTAGCTTCGTCAGGTGCGCCTCTTTTCTCCACTGATTGGTCACGCGTTGTCGACCCTAAAACCTTTGGAAGCAAGCCGCCGACAAACTGGTCAAGCTTTGGGATGCTTACACAGGAGAGATATTGAGAACTTTTGAAGGCCATACAGAAGGTGTCAATGATGTCTCCTGGTCCAACGATGGGGAATTTCTTGCTTCAGCATCGGATGATAAGAGTATTATACTCTGGAGCTTAGAGACGGTGCGTTGCCTCTACTTCGGTCCTGCCTTTCATTAAACCCTTTATTTCAGAACTCTGCTGTGAAAACCCTTCTAGGACACACGAATTTCGTCTTTTGCGTTAACTTCAACCCCCGATCTAATCTTTTGGTCACCGGGGGGTATGATGAAACTGTTCGCGTCTGGGACGTAGCAAGAGGTCTGTCGATTTGACTTCACCCTTTGAATATCAGCCGAACGTTACCAGGGAAATCATTAAAGGTTCTTCCCGCCCACTCTGATCCTGTGACCGCTGTCAGTTTTAATCACGATGGAACGCTCATAGTATCCTGCGCAATGGATGGGCTGATGTAAGCGTTCATCAGGAGCCTATGGCGAGGTATTTATCTGATGAAATCTAGACGAATTTGGGACGCCGAATCCGGACAGTGCTTGAAGACTATCGTCGACGACGATAATCCTATATGGTGAATGCTTTTCGTTACTATTTTTCCGTGGCACTGACTTGGTGTTCTCAGTTCGCACGTCAAATTCTCGCCGAACTCAAAATTTATTCTATCAGCAACCCAGGACTCGACAATCAGGCTTTGGGACTATCAGAAGACACGATGTGTCAAAACGTACACTGGCCACACTAACAGGACGTATTGCTTGTTTACTTGCTTCATTACTACTCGAGGATCATACATAGTGAGTGGAAGCGAGGACGCAAAGATATATGTGTGGGACTTGCAGAGTCGCGAAGTGCTACAGGTCCTCGAGGGCCACAGAGGTACATTTCTCTAGTTTCATCATGTTGAGTGGCTCACGTGGTTTGCACAGATGCTGTCTTAGCAATTGCGGTAAGAACAGCCCCGACATACGCTTGTCATAGACTGAATTCAGCGCTCAGACTCATCCCGTTCGTAACATTATGGCTTCTGCTTCAATGGAGAAAGACCTTACCATCAGGCTTTGGTATGATGAATGAATTGACTGGTTCAGAATGCGCAGTTACAAGTTACAAGGAATGTCGAAACAAGAATAATTGAGGTCCACAATATGTTTTAATGAAAAAAAAATCTCTTGGCAAAAATGCGAGGCGACCGACTCAGCAGAAATTAAATTTGGACGGGCGTCAGTACAGCCTATCGGCTGTGTAGCCTGTGCAGGTAACTTGGCACAAAAAGGTTTGCTGTGGGCCTACACGGCAAAATCTGTAATTTGTAACCTGAATGTAGCGCGAAAAGGGTAATTCGGGCGTACGGTAGATATAAAGCTTGAGTATTATGAGCAAATTTTGTATAAAATAAAAATACATGCGCATGTCACACTTTATAGCCGTCATTTCATTGTCGCGAGAAATTTGTCACTGAGATGTCGTGGTAATGTCATAATTGGATCATTTGGAGGCAATCCGCACGTTGATTTTTGGTTGTCAGTTGGATGTACTGCCATTTGTAAGGCTGATGTCGTGAGCTGGGTGTCTATTGTATGTAAGCCTCATATATTCATGATGTATTCGCGATGTTTGCTGCGCATCAAAACTCTCATAAAACAGGAACCGACAAAGGACCATTACATCGGCCGTACATCAACAAAAGTATCAAACAATGTTGTCGCGCTGGTAGTTGCCAGCATTGGCAACCAAGCCTCAAATCATTTTTTGCCCTGTCAGTCAGTGGGCGACAAATATTTTTGAAGAAAGACTTTAATTGTCGGAACTGCGATGAATCTGCGTGAAGGTCCAAAATTGCATTAAAAGCGACAAACAACAACATTCCCTAATTGAATGACAGCACTGGTAAATCTACACTATATAACATCTAAAAGTTAAACACGACGCGCAGTTTATTCCATCAATCAACTGATACCAACGGATCGGGGTGGAAGAGCATTGCGTGAGCACAAAATTCGGCCCAGATGTGTTCTAGTAAGCTCTCCTCACTTCCACCCGCAGCACCAGCGTCGAGCCAGTGTTCAATGAACTGCCCCTCAAGGGGGATCCTTGCGTCCCACCTTGGCCACCGGCCGCTAGGAAAATCTGGGCAAGCACCGACAAATGCCAGCCAGAATGCGTCACGGCCCCATGTCCAATGTTGTGATTCTGCCGGTATGGTGACTAGCCAGCGCTGAATCTGGTCTGACAACTGCGACCAATGATAGGAGTCCGCAGGATTGAATTTTGATGGCAACGGAAGGAAGGGGATGGGTACATCGACGCTGTCATAAGATAGCTCGTGTCCCCTTTCACCCATATCAAGAACCTAAATTATTAAAGCGTTAGATCGATCCCAATAGGAGAAGATCGTCCACTCACATCATCCAAAGTTAGGGAACACTCAGAATGGGGATATCCGTCCAAAGTAAGAGCTTCGACAACCGGTGTCGTGAACGGTCTGTACTCCTCTGCAATGGAAACAGATATTTGTATTGGCTAAAAAAGTGTCATCAGAAATCAGTGCAAAGGGGAAAGAAGGAGCAGCACAACAACACCGTGAACAAGGTGCCTCGGAAGGGCACCTGAAAAGCATATACCGATGCATAAAGGTTGCAACGATGCATCGTCCGAATTCTTTATGCGGATTGGAGGGTAGAATGTCGAGGTTTGAGCTGTGGCACAGGTGGTTGGAAACATATTGACAATTTGAAGGTTGAATTGAACACTGCTGAACGTCGAACATTGAACGACTTGCTTGAACATCCCGTTGAACGTTTGGTGACCGTCACAACCGTGACACATTAGCACGTGATTGGCTGGACTTCACAAGATCAATCATCAAACTCACTCGACCAGCAGCCGTCAATATGGGTGATTCGCAGCTTGTTGACGGGTCAAGTAAGTACTTTCAACTTGATTTATGGGTGTTATTAAACGCTCTCGCACTTACAGTTTTGAAATACTGTAATCCATCCCAGACTCGTGTTGTTTGCACAGTCTGCCCTCAATTCAAGGGAGCATTGCGGACAATGGAGCGCAGGTACACCCGGGCTCACTGTAAGGGCGCCACCCACACCCGACACCTTCTTCTCAGGTGTTCTGGGAGAACTTCTGTATCTAAAAACCCCTTCCCTCTAAAATCTCAACGACCCAAGCACCCCGCACACACACAGATGACCCACCGCGAATCCGATACTGATGCCTTTGGCATGGATGTCGACTGTCAATCCGGATCTTTCCAGGCATCTGAGGTCGCTTGCCACGAAGCTGACGACGATCAGCTGGTACCACTTGCCGGGGAAGACTTGGAAGAGGAAGAGGTTCCGCTGTCTGCGCTGTGGGATGTTGAACTGGGCCACCACACATATGAGATCGGTGGCGGGCGGGATCTCTTCGACGATTTGAAGGCTTCGCTACTCAAGGGCGACAGGCTCTTCGAAACGCCCCTGGCTCCTCTCAAAGACGAGATTGGCATGCAAGACAACGAGTTTGATTTTGGGATCGAGCTGCTAGGTGAGTTTCTGTATTACCGTGTTCACTTATTTTATTGACACACTTCTAGATGAAATTCCTGCAGAGTCTAGCGCGAGGACGAATATGAAAGTTAATCCGGGAAGCATGTACTATCCTTGGCCATCGAGAGCGGTACGTTTCACCCCACTATTCTGACAGGATTCGATGATTCTTACCGTGCTTCCAAAGCACTTCTTGACTTCGTTGTTGTTTAGCTCTGCACGACTACCGTTTTCGGATGCGCAGAAGAGAGCCATACTCGGCTGGGCCAAGGAACTGGGCGCGCGTGATATCCCATCTCTCAAGGCGGTCAAGCAGTCAAATGAGCGCATCTGCGAACTCGTCGGAAATCCAACGCGGAAAGTAACATCAGCGTCCGGCAACATTTTTTACATTAACGATATTTGGCATGCAATTGCAAAGGTAAACTACGAGCGCTCAGACTATGCCATGCTAACGATGTCATTTAGGATTATGCAAATCCACTCACCCGCTTCGCCATGATGGATTATCCTGAAGACGGTGGAACTGGTATGTCGCAGGTGTTTCATGGGCACAAGATGCTGCTGGAACTGCCGTCGCCTCCGGCGGCTCGGGTGGACGGCAAAATATACTTCGTCAATGAACTTCTGCAGGAACGCTCGGGAGCCTTTTTTGTCCCAGAACGCTTTTTTAATGCCTCGTATGCACCGTTGGACCACGGGGACTCGCAGGATCCACGCCAGGAGAAAGAAATATATGCCATGGGCCGTGCAGTAGAATACACGGATGTATGTAATCATGTCTCACAGATATAGCCTCTGACGAGTAGGCAAGGCCGGTTTTATTGTTAGTGATGAACAAGAGGTTGTTCCAGCTTCGATATTCAGATGCTCGTTTGAAGATCTCGCGGGCAAGCTCACATGCGGTGTCACTGGTAAGTACATGGCTGAAATATGGGTGACTCTACTTAGCATAATCCCAGCATCCTCCGAAAAATATCTGAAGCTCGTGCCACATCCGCTACGTGAAAAAGCGAAGGGTCGAATGGTCTATTCAGTCCCTCTAATCATCTTCATGGACGACGTTTCCGGAAATGTTTCTAAGCAGTGGAATAAGCACCACGCGATTTATATGTCAAATGCTAACTTACCACGTGAGATGCTGGAGAAAGAGTTCTGTGTTCGATTCGTAACGTCGTCACCACATGCTGCGCCGATGGAATTAATGCATGCAATGAGGGAGTCTATAAGGTGTGTTCTTCGCTGTCAACGTTCCGTTTACTCAAGTATCGATTGTTATAGCACCGCTGCAGACTCAGGTATCTTTGCATGGGATTGTAAATTCGCCGAGGAAGTCATGCTCGTTCCCGAAGGTTTATTTCTTGCGGGCGACAATCCAATGCAAGCTGAGGAGTGCAGTCACGGGGGGTTAAATTGTAATTACTTTTGCAGGACTTGTCATGTTGGCGGGACGAAGGAGCACAAAGAGTCTGAGGCTGGCTATGCTAGTCTTTTTACGGTATGTTGTACACAACTTGAATGACCACTATAGATTAATCTTGAGAATCGGACAGGAAGGAAATCCCCGAATTCCTGAAGAAACAACATCACAGATCCTCCAGCAGTTCGAGACCGCATTATGCTCAGGAGCTGCAGGGAAGGTCTCAGCTGCTACAACAGCAACTGGAATTCGTGACTCTACTTCGTCTTCTATCATCAATACACTGGTCGAAATGGGCAAGAAGCTGCGGAAACGAGAAGCAGGGCAGTCAGCGTCAACGGAATCTGAAGTTCGGGCTAAGCTAGAGAAAGAGCTCTCGGATATGTTGCAAGGTAGGACACATCAGGATGCAATCAATCCCCTTCTAGGGATGGATGGTGAGCATTTTCATTTTTTGTGGGTCATTGAATTTACATTGGTACTATGATAGGGATGAATATTCACATGGATACTCCTACGGAGATCCTGCACACAGTTCTACTCGGCGTCGTGAAATATTTCTGGGGACAGACTGCATTTTTGCTCGAGAAGGCTAAACTACTCAATCATTTTCAGACACGTCTCGATTCACTGGACAGGGATGGCCTAAATGCACCATCCCTAAATGCTGATTATATTTGCCATTATAAAGGGGGCTTAATCGGAAAACACTTCAAAAGTCTCGCACAGGTTATGCCATTCGTGGTCTATGATCTTGTTCCAAAAAGTGTTCTTGATGGATGGACCTTGATTGGAGAGCTCGTCGTTCTCATTTGGCATACGAAAATCGACAACACCGAAATCTACTTGGCGAAGCTAACTCGAACGATCGGCGATTTTCTCAATACTACCGCGCAGTGCGCACCCAGTATCTTGATCAGTAAACCCAAGTTTCACTTTCTGGTTCACCTCCCAGCTTATATTCGACGTTTTGGACCCGCAATTGTTTTTTCGACTGAGCGCTATGAGTCGTTCAATCATGTCTTCCGCCTCACGTGTATTTACAGCAATCGGAGAGCTCCAAGTCGCGACACGTGCATGACATTTGTTCGCAATGACACTGTCAAGCATATCACGACTGGCGGCTATTGGTTCGACACACATACAGAACAGTGGGTTCGTGGCGGCCCGCAGGTTATCACCTACCTCGAGGACCACCTCAGGCAACACTTTTCGGTGCCAATAAGGGGTCTTTCAGACCCGGTTATTATGTTGTGGGAAACCTGTCTGCGAGACCCATCATCCCTCCAATCTAAAAATAGCTTACATATACTTTTAGTTCCGGTACCTCCCAGGTACCTACGGCGCCTCTCGCACCTCATTTTGTAGGTTCTGGCAGTTCATCCGTAGGCTCCAGCGGTATGCGTGATAGTCTTGTAGGGTTGCCTGGTAGGTGGGAGGTATCCTTGTAAGTTTTCTGTTTATGTATTATAACACTCAAAGTACTAACTTCGTCCGCACAGTCTTCTGTGCATGCAGGTTGACCCTCTCGCCATGACTCTAACTAACTCCCGCAATACTCGTAAAGCTCAAATCGTTTCCTCTGGCCTTGGTCAACACTTTGTCAGCCCAAGGAAAGCCAGAGACAAGAGGAAAACTCAAACACTGGTGGAGTTTCCTGGCGCGGAACTCAGGCGTCGTCGTCTACTTGCTCAAATGCAACGACTCATGGATCCCACACTCCCCAATTCAGGGTATTCTCCTGGTATTGCCCTGGGTAGTACCTCTGGTGGAGTAGCCAACGCGAACACACCCAATGAATTGGAGTTTGCAGGCACCGACTTTGAAATGTTGGAGGAATCCTCTTCTGATAGGCCTGTAAACTTGGAGAGCAGTCCACACAAACGGCGCATTCTCCCTGATAAGTCCACAGATACATTATACACCAACTGGCACAGGCTCATCCCCACCCTCGTCGACCCGCAATTGCAGTATTACGCCCGTACTCTCGGCCAAGCCTTGGAGAGAACTCAAGATGTGATCTCAGCGTGTGGAACTCTCTCATGCGCACAGAAAAGAACAAATCTGTTGTGCCTATTCTTCGACAGTAAGTACTTACGCTTTTAGCCCATCGCATGATCTTACAAGTGCGAAATACATCAACAGGATTTGTATCAATTGATGTATTGAGCTGTGAATGCTCCAGCCTTCCGCAGGTCCTTCTTCATCATGGGCTGTTCCCCACGGCACCTTCCCAACCTCGCATGGCGGTATCTGTTGATCTACTCTCGTTTTATCGCGCTCTTTTTGAGCGCTCTTGTGACGCCATCAATGCTCTTGCATCTGCTCTCAAAACTCACTATTCACGCAGGGGTTTTCAAGTGACCGACTCGCGGGTAAGATATAGTTACATCAGGTTTAACGTCACTAAACTAGATTAAAGGGTGACCTCGTGCAAGAACCATTTCGTCGTGGTCTAGGCCACGCCGTACAATGGTACGATGTCCTCCAGGTCGAAATTGAACGGCAAGTCGATGCAGTCCTGCAACAGACTCGAGACCGCGTTGCCAGTCTCCAGCCACCCCAACTCCCTCCTCTCACAAATGCTGAAAGTTCGGCTTTGACTGCCTTGCACCATGGCCGATGTGCGTCACTCCTCGTACAACGTTGTCCAGCATGTTTTGGTGGGACACTGTTTGGCAGACCCATTGATCAAGGCGGGGACATACATGTTGCTACAGACGGCAATTTTCATCACCGCCACCGACGTTCCGCGGGTGATTGTCCTCGCTTCTACGAGCCCACTTACTTCCTTCCTAAACAGTTTGTTGATGCAGTTGGGTGCCGAATTGATGCACAACGTAAGCGACCTCCAAAAGCACACACCCCCGTTGTCCCTGATGTGGCTATTGACCTATGTGAGAATGCATATGAAGCTGCCGACGGGAAGAAACAAAAGGCCGCAATGGACAGCTTCGACGACACGGGATTGATGGCCCTTATTTGCCGTCATGATATCCCGCTATTTTTTGCTAACATCGATTCCCCCGGCGAGCAACAGAAATACTCAGTTGCGCTTATAGAACACTTGTTCACATTGCTCCCTCCTCAAGCCACAGTCGCGACCCTCTATGACGTAGGCTGTGTTCTGGCACGTTCCCTTTCAAAGGTATGTATGATCTTAGTTGGATTCACGTGCTAATTATTTGCAGTTTGAGATTCTCCCTCGGGATGTTCTATCACGCCTGCGCTTTGCAACTACAGCCATGCACGCCTATGGCCACGAATGGGCCTGCCAGCTGGTGCACAATCCACGGATGTGCATTGGCCTTGGATTATCTGATGGCGAGGGGACTGAGCGGTTATGGTCGCGGTTCGTTCGCTTGATAGGTGTCGAAAGGTCATCATCAGTGCGTTAGGTGGTATTGCACCTAGGAATGTACTAATTATTTTCATTTGTTTAGCGCCAGCGCCGTATCTGGTTAATTGACCGTCAAGCGACTGCCATAGGATCGGAAATGAAGGCAGACCTTGGGGATTGGATCAAGCGCCGTCTGAAGCGAGGCATCAAGGACCAGGGCTCAGCTGCGCTCAACGTGCTCAATCGCTGTGAAACATCTGTGGAGGACCTACGAACTCAATGGGCTGACCAGCGACAATCACAGCTGTCGATTCGAGCTCGTGAGTAGGCCCGTAATACGCGCGCAATAGTAATTATGTTGAAAATGTTGTCAGATGCCCCTGCTCGCCTCAAGAAGGAGCTCGACACAGTTCTCGCTCTACAAGCTGATTTGGATGTCTCGGATCGAGCCTTGCAGGCTACGAGGACTATGCTGGAGAAGGAGGCAGCCTCCGGTGACACTCTAGATGTCCTCGCGAGCCTACAGAGGGGTCACGAGCGTCTCATGACCAAAGTCGAAGTGTTGTACTCTTCTCTTAACGTTCATGATAGATTTCCGGAGCTCGACGGAGTCAATCTTGACTTCGTCCGTGTCCTTCTTATGGCTCGAGACCTTAAAATGAATATTCGGAAGCGTGCCATCGCCAGTTTTTTCGAATGGGATAAGCTAGATCGGGCTGTAGGCGGGTCCCAGCAAACATTAGGTAAGTCTTCATATTCAATTATTCCTCCATTCTAACCTTATTCTTCAGGGACGAAGCTTCATCAACACACTCGAAAAGCCATAGCGAAGCGCCAACCTGCTCTTATGACGGCAATCCGACAATTTAATTCTTACTGTGAGCGGTTAGAATCACTGTATGATCCTGCTTGGAACATCCCACTTCCTACCCCCCTTCCAACAAAGTTAGCTGAACTACGTGGCGACCAGACCTTGATGCAGGATATCTGGGTTGTGCCCTCCGTAGGAGAGGTGCCTCGATGGCTAGAAGACTCGGACGTCAGGGACGGAATTCGTGCCCTTCTCAAACGTGACCGGTGCCAGGAGGAGCAAAAACGCTTAGGCATGGAGGCTGACAATTTGTGCCGCTTCTTCGGAGAAGAGCTAACTGCACTGGAGCTCTCACTCCGATTGCCCGAAAGTAAGTTTGATTCTCGCTATTTATTCAAGGTCTCATTGATCCGGCCTTGCTCGTTTATAGATAAGCGCTTTCGTGTTCCATTGCAACAACGGCACTCACATTTTATCCGACTTCAGACGCGTTGGTCAAATTCGCTTGCATCATCGGTTCGGTTCACAAGCCGTGCAAAAGAGGCGCTAGACCGCGCTATAGCCTACTCTGGAGATCCTCAAGATACTGTTCTTAATCTGGCTAGCGTAACAGTGCAGGACCCTGCTCCAGAGGATGAACCAGTCGTCCCTGAGGTGGATGACTTGGACTCGCGGGAGCTTGAGCCTGAGCAAGCTGCGCTTGCAGACATCCTGGAGGGTGATATTGCCGGAGCGGAGCTTGATGAAGATCAAGACTTAGTGTCTAATATGTGCGCTGACATTGTGTGGGATTCCCCAGAGGTACGTCAATGTCGTTGACAGGCCAAACATCACTAATAACCTGTAGGGTCTCCTGATTGATGATTTCCGCGCCCCATCTCAAGATTCGCATGTCATTGTGGCTGGACGGGTAGCAACACGAGTACGACCATCAATGGGTGGATTCCCCCAACAAGTTTTTGAGCCGAGAGACATCTCATTTCTTGCTTCTCCGACAGCGTACCTGAACGATGTTTGTATCAACGGCTGTGCCGTGCTTCTGCAGATAGATATCCCTAACCCCACTGTAGCTATCTTCTCCACCCACGATCTTCCTCGCATCCGCTACAACGCAGCCGATGATATCCTTTGGCGCAATACATCCTGGACACGTTATTGGGAGAAAGATGTCTGGGTTATCCCGATTCATAGGCCAACTAGTGTTGGCCATTGGGTGGTTTGCATTATTTACTTGTCAAGAAAAGAAATCCATCTCTTTGATAGTCTCGCTGAACGAAAACCGTGGAAACACGACTTGAAAGTATGTTTATCTTGACTTACGTGCAATCATGATTTTGATATCTTTTACAGGACATCATGAAACTTGTTTGTCGGCTTCTGGCAATCGCACATCAACGAAACAAGCAGGTACATATTGATCTGGATGGATGGGTGGCTCGCCCATTGACCGTGAGTTCAAGCGCATCTCTCATGTCTAAACCTCAATTTAATGATTCACGCAGATCAAACCTCTCCAGACTAACGGATATGATTGCGGGGTATGGATATTAGCAGCCATGATTGCTGTCCTACATGGACGACACATTACGCGACTACAAGAGGAGGAAATGAGCGACCTGCGATATTACCTACGTGCTCGTGTACTTTCTATACCTGCATTCTAGCACGCATCAATGTACAGTACCCTAGATCTATGAATATTGACCATTGGCGAGCAATCTGAGTGAGGCGCCTATACTTCGTCTTCTCCCTTTCACCAAATTTGAGGTTACCGCTGAGGACAAATCATGGCGCATCAGACAGGCTATGATTCATAGAATGGCATATCTCTGAAATGTTGGCCGTAT